AATGCAATTTTTTGGCAAAAATGTAGTAATAGTATTTTATGTACCTTATGGTAAAATAAATTATATTAACCACCATAATATATCAAATTTACTTAGTAATATTACAAGTTGACGACCGTATTTGCTCTGTTTCTTTTTTTTTTATAAATAATAATAAATGAATTCCAAATTCAACTCAAACGTGATTACAGTGACCGTTTTAATTTTTTACACGAAATGTACGGTATACCACTACCCACTACAAATCCTCTTTTTAAAATAAAATTTTATTTTCCAACAGTAATAGTATAATATTATATTTATAATACGTAAAAATATGAAAACTATTAACTCATAATACAAATAGCAATAATTGCTAAATAATTTACTTAAAGATAGGTCTTAGTTGTGATTATTAATTTTATCAGCTACATAATTTAAATAATGATGATCCGATGTCTATAAACTGTTTTCACATTCATGGCGTGAATCGATCAAAACTTTATCAGTCAAATATTATTTGTATTAATCTTATTACGCCGAGGATCACACCATGACATGGCATATCACTCGATTAATCTTATACACTTTTAAAAACGTATATAAACAAAAGCTTACGGTCGAATCGTCATAACAATTTCGTACAAGTCAATTGTTTGGTAAGCATCTACCTCAGACGCCAAATTGAATTATTGTTTTCGTGAAATAAAGTTTTTAATTTCTAGATTTCAAATTCAATCAACACAAAAACCAACCAAAATCAAAAATGGGCGCAGAAAAAGTATCCATGAACATCGTCGTCATCGGGCAAGTCCAGTCAGCCAAGGCCATCAAGACTGTCGCCAAGGCCACACCAGCCACCAGCCAACTGATGGTGAGTTTGTAGTATAACAGGTAATTTTATACGAATTTCAAATGCAGTCTCATAGATTTTGTTCAACTTTAATAATTATGTTTAAAAATACAACAAATTATATAACAATTATAATTATTATAATGAATTTGTTTGATTATAACTGATAAACTTAATGACTGGGCAAGTTTTCAGGATTGTTATTATTTTAATAAACTGAATTAAACAAAAAAAAAATAACATCTACATAAAAAAAATCATTTTACATATGAATATATTGTTGTATCGCGTTATTTTATCAAAAAATTTAAGTTGCTTTAAGCCATTGGCTACTAAACTCGTTCATCGAAACTCTTTCATAATATTTTCACCTAAACATTACATTATTTATTATATATTTTATAATAAACTCTTTAATAATTGTTTGTAACATATTCTATACTCTATGATATTTGTAATTATATGTAATAGATATTTTATTTTATTTTTTCCATGATATAACATTTACAAACATAGTTGTATGTTATTTCATGCAGTTATATTTCAAAGCATTTTTTTTTGTATTAAATATAATTACTTACTTTTATTAATTTAATTTTTGATTTGTTTCAGAACTGTTAAATCATGTAATCCATCTATCTCAAACACAAAAATGCCATAACCTAAACAAAATATGTATTTTTAATGTTATGTTTTGACAATACCAAATAAATAAGTATATTCCGATATTTAACCTGTTTGATTTATTATTTATAACGATATGCATTACCGGTATAAAGAATTGAATATCAAGAAACTCAATCAGTTTGTAATGTAAAAAAATATGAAAATGAATATAGCAAATAATATCAATCTGCACTCATATTCTTAACCTATCATTTTAACAAACATTATAAATAGGATGTGTTTGAAAAAAAAAGCAAACCTAGTAATTCAACTCGTGTAGTATTTTAATTTTTGAACCACAAAAAATATTATATTTTAAATGGACATCTTAAAATTATAAATCAAAGCCGTCTAAAGCACAACGTATAGAAATCGGTCATCTGATCAGATGATTAGTACTTTGTTTACTATATCATTTTTTCGTTCGAAAATGTATTTTGTATACAAGTAAATTCGACCACAACGTCTTGGATAATATTTAGTTCATTTTTAATAAAATGCTATAGGACTACTATTTCTTTACTAATCCTACATGTACGATCTGTCGGCAAGTGACAAGCGTGTCACATCGAAGGATGTCCAAAAGTTCAGTGACAATGAATTTCGATAAAAATAATTATATTATAATTACAATTTTTTTAAAAAAATATGATTTTTTCAAAAGCAATTAACTATTAATTTTAATAATATTTAACGTTTTAGAAAACGGAGTAATGTGTAGGCAATATAGGTACATAACTTATGTTTTAATAGTTAATATTATAACAGTTTTGCGATAAAATCCTCGTATTGTTAAAAACTCCTAACTCTATTGGTTAGCATGATATTATAATTGGATAAAATAATTTTTGTACAACGACGACTGTCTGGAGGATTTGCTGCGACAGTAAATAAAGGCAAATTATGGATACAGACCCGGCTAGTATTGCAAGTCGTGGCAGTTGGATTTTAGAGTAGTAAGCGAGAACATTTTTTTTCTCGACAGAGCATTTTTTTCACCAGACCATATTTTTATAAAGCATTGTTTTAATATTAAATTGTAGTGTGAGTTTTCTTTTCAATTTTCAATATACAAGTAATAATTAGTTTTAATGTCTCCGTTTAATTTATTTGCACACGGGGGCACCCCTTAGAATTCTTAACAGTGTCTTTATCATAATACAGATAAATCAAAAAATTGTCATTTAAGTACCACAATAGATGGATTTGCATGATTTTTGAATTATTTAACATTTACATCTGGCTATTTATCTTTGTTGCATGATAAATGTATAGTTAATTAAATGGTTCAATAAAATTAAAAGAGACAATCATAGACCATTCAAATCATGTTCAAGGGGCCTTTTATATCTCACTATTGATTCTTTACACTTTAAGTGATTGCTCATAGGACCCGGCTTCAGTAATACGAAATAAAGTTATAAATATCTTTATATATTACGACATTAAATATATTTATGATATTGGTTTATGTTGCTAATCATATAAAATCTGAGAGTAGGTAACAGAATACTCAAATACATTATTTATATTGAATATTATGATGATTAAATAAATTAATAATAAAAAAAGTAGGTACTTCAATACGTGCTTATAGTACTCAAAAATAATAATTTGAATTGTATTATTATTATTTTAATTTTAAATGACAAAATGAGAATGTACATTGTTCAATAGCTCACAATCTATATATATTTCGATGTGACTCCAATAATTTATCAACTCCAAAAATAGATATCATACATTAGTTAATTTGGGTTACAATAATAAACAAAAAAATAGCATTTTCAAAACTATTTAAATATTAAAAGTTAATAATTGTTTTTATTGAAATTAAACTGTTCAGATTTATTTTTTTTGTAAATATTCTGTCACGACAAATACTTGAAATATAAATTATTTTTATTGCTAATGTTGGATTGTGTAAACATATTGGTTGACGTTCCCATGCTCAAATTATTTGTTTGTAATGTATTAAACCATTTTAATTAGTGCCAAACAAATAAACTAACCCGTAGTCTTTGGTATACACTTAAAAAGTTTTGTTCATAATAATATACAAATTATATAAGACACAATGTCATCATGACTACACAAAGGATTAGTAATAAATAATCTGATGACGTATTCGGAAGCCTTGGACCAAAGTTGCCATTATCCATCTTCTTCCTTCAGAAAAATATATTGGCAAATTAAATTAAATTAAAGGAACATTATTGTTATATAAAAATGTATACCTATAATTTTCTTAGCACTTAAGGTATTACATTGTAACAGATATTCAAAAAAAAAAAAGTCATATTAAATAATTATATTTGAATATCTGTACATTTTAAAATATAGTTTTCATTCGATTGATATGGATACCGTTTGAACACGAAAATATCTTAAACAATAGACAACGGAACTTATATTTTCTTTACAATTGGAAATTGAAAAAGAATATAAGTGGATATTATGAGAGTACGACCAATATTAAATGCCTTTAATTGGTGTTTTTTAACCTGCGGTATGGGCAGTGTTAACTACAATCAAGGAAAGTTTAAAATAATGTTTTACATACTACGATGCATTTCCATTTGTTTTGGACTCAATATCGCTTACGACTCAAATATTCAATGGGTAAAAAACATTTTTTATTTTATTATTATTTATGATTCTTCCATCGTATCCTAAGGAAAGGTGTAGAAATTATTAAAGTAAAAAATAACCTACATTTAGTCGAAAAAAAAATGTGTTGTGTAAAAAAATTAATAATAAATATAGGTAATGTTGGACATTTGCTAGTTCCTACGTTTAATATTTCTGAATAAATCGCGATAGCAATTAGTCCCCACTCCCCAGGCTAACAGATCATCAATAAAATATAAAATCAAACGAAAATTGCGCTTTACAACGTGTTGAATAATTTATAAAATGTTTTGGTACAAATAACACTTTACACAATTAATATTTTTATGCAGACTTTTTTTGAAAAAATAAATTTAAAACATGCAGGATAAAAATTAAATCGTTTGGTTGGATTTCAATAAATTCTTTGTGATATACTTAAAGTGTTGATATTTCTTGAATTAAAAAAAATGTACATTGTATTTATGAATTTGAAATAAAAATGTAAATCAGCAACTTATTTTAAGAAGCTATTGTTTTTCATTTATGATAGCAAGTTTTTGCATGTACTTGAAATTTATTCAGCGTTTTGTTTGTATAGATCTATATCATAGCCATAGTATTTTCTTTAAATTGTGTTATTATATATGATCTACCAATTTTCATATTATATATTATGTTTTCTTCGATGTAAATTAGATTACTTATAAGTAAATAAATAAGACCATACAAATCTATAAAAATATGTTAAATGCATGCATATATGACACAATTTAACAATGATAATATGTAATATAAGTTTTGTTTATACGTTATTGTATTTAACAGGCAAAAATGGTTGATCCAGATATTTTTGACATAACTTCAATAGTAATGATGTTTTTTTTTGGAAATGATAAATATTGGAAATATAGTAACTAGAGTGTGGCGCATATTTTTTGATAATCGACTATCAGTGGTATTGACTAAACTTGAAGAAATTCATGAAAAATTAATACATCTGAATGTGGTCAGAACAATGAAAATAAAAAATAATTGGCTTTTTATTACTGGAATTATTGTGCATTTTCTTGCAAGTAATGCACTTGTGGTCAAATGGAATATAAGGAGCTGGTTCCACTACAAGGACACAAAAATGGCAATTTCTGTGGTAATAAACAACATATACAATTATTTTATGCAAATTTATATGATATATTTGTTGGAACTATGGCATTCAAAAATTATTGGGGGTCACGAAATGTATCAAACACATTAAATATAAAGACAATCAAACTTATTAAACGTTTTCAGAAAACTGAGTTTTTTCTAAACAGCTTCCAGAGTTGGAATATTTATTAAATAAATAATACAATTTAAAATTTTTTTAGGCCATGTATTTGGTTTCAGTGGTGTGTGAATGTGCTGCATTTTATGAATACATACTACTAATATTATACATCAGATGGATAGTGTACATCATAAATGAACAAATACTGTTAAGACATTCAACAATCAGTACCCTGAGGGATATGTATTTGGAAGTTATCGATTACTTGATCGTTATCAATAGATCAATATACGGTTTGCCGGTAATATCGACTATTATTGCGACAAACATTGGAAGACTGTTTTATGAATTTTATAATCATATACTTTTTCCTGTACCAGCATACGAAGGTGAAGAGCTAATAACACTAACCATAAGTCTATCAATATGTGTTTTTGATATCATTGTGCTATACGGAATTGGTCATGCAACGGAACAAGAGGTGTTTAACATAATTATTATAGTTTTGTAGGATGTTTTCAGATAGTAAATGACATTAATGTCTACTGACACTAAACACTTATATATGCAATCCATACACTTAATAAAAAACTGATATTATTTTTAAATAAAAATGGGAAATTTATACTCAGTGACAATGCCTTTTCCAATGTCTAAAGTGTATTATTTTCATTTTAAACTTTTTTTTGATTACAGATAAATCGGGTGAGTCTCGTGTTTACACAACACATTTTTTTTTCGACTGAATGTAAGTTATTTTTTACTATAATAATTTCTACACCTTTCCTTAGGATACGTGGGAATCATAAATAATAATAAAATAAAAAATGTTTTTTACCCATTGAATATTTGAGTGATACATGACATTGAGTCCAAAACAAATGGAAATGCATCGTAGTGTGTAAAACATCATCTTAAACTTTCCTTGATTGTAGCTAACACTGCCCCCACCGCAGGTTAAAAAATACCAATTAAAGGCATTTAATATTGGCCGTACACTCATAATATTCGCTTATATTCTTTTTCAATTTCCAATAGTAAAGCAAAGTTCAGTCCGGTTGTCCACTGTTTAAGATATTTTCGTGTTCAAATGGTATCCATATCAATCGAATGAAAACTATTTTTGAAAATATACAGATATTTAAATAGAATTATTTAATATTTTATTTGAATGTGTGTTACAATGTTATACCTTAAATGCTAAGAAAATGATAGGTATACATTTTTATATAATAATAATGTTAATTTAATTTAATTTGCCAATATATTTTATTTGAGGAAGAAGATGGATAATGGCAACTTTGGTCCAAGACTTCCGAATACGTCATCAGATTATTTATTACAAATCCTTTGTGTATTTATGATGTGTCTTATTGAATTTGACTATTATTATGAACAATAACTGTTTAAGTGTATACCAAAGACAACGGGTGAATTTATTTGTTTGGTACTAATTAAAATGGTTTAATACATTACAAACAAATAATTTGAGCATGGGAACGTCAACCAATATGTTTACACAATCCAATATTAGTAATAAAAATAATTAATATTTCAAGTATTTGTCGTGACAGAATATTTAGGCCTAAAATAAAAAATTCAACACCAACACTAATGAGCAAAATTTAGCTTGCAAGGTTGCCATCAATTATCTTTGAGATGGTCTAAAAAAGTAAAATTGTACGTAAGATCAAGACATAAAATTTTTTTTAAAAAAATTTGAAAAAAAAATATTTTGAAAAAATTTAGAAGAAAAAAATTTTGATATGAAAATTTTGCAAAAAAAAAAGTGAGAGGTATTTGTAACCTCACCGAAAACATATCTTCTGTTCTTTGTTTATAATAATTGAGGGTCATTGACTCAATTCTGTATCGCTTTTGGGTTGTAGACAAGCGAATAATATTATTATAAATGTATAAATTCTATCTTTCATATTTTTATTTTTTCATCTAGTTGGTATATTTTTAAAGAATTTATTTTTTTAACAATTTACCATTCAAATAAATGTATATTATTGTTAAAATTATTTCAAATATTCATACAATGAGTAGCTCACATATTTGGGTAGGAGCCGATATATGCGGAGCTATATTAAGTCCAAGCTGTCTATATAAAATTATATTTAGACACACAGATGTTGATATTTTCTTTATTTTGGGTAGGTTCTCACCTATTATATACGAGTTCAGTGTTCATATTATAATATTCAACTCGGCTTCAACCGTGCTTAAACCAATCTATTAAGCTTTTTGATAAATTAATTACATGGTGAACTGAATCCGTTTATGGTAGTTCTCACTGTTGCTTTCTGTAGATAAGCATATTATAATCCATAATTTTTATTCAATTAAATCGTTGGTAATGGGATGATTATGGGTTATAACTTAAATCACTAAACACAATTTAATTTCTCAAAAAAACATTGTTCTTTTTTTAAGTATTCAGAGTGTTTTCATTTTTATTTATCTAATCAGAATATTTGGTCCCGCTGATTATGCTCGAGTGATGGTCCATAAAAAGTTAACAAAAAAAAGCAATATTATATTTGAATAAATGTATTTCAAATTTAAATACTGTTTTGTATAAATTTGTAGAATTAGTGTTTCCATTCAATAGTGTCAGCGATAATTTCACCATAGCAGGTCTAGTTTTGGCAATTGGTAGGTTGTGTTTATCATAACTCGTAAGACTAGTAAGGAAAAAACAAAAGTAGGAAAGTATCCAAATTTTATATGATTTTTATATTTTTTATGTGGGTATTTGATAGTGATGCTAGTTTTTGATTTTACAACTTAATATAAAGTATGTAAATATTATATTGAATATTACCTACCCAAAAAGATGAACAAAAGCAAATAAATACTGCTTTAAACAAAGTGTGGCAAGTGCACGTGCAGTGAGTGACATTTTATCCTATTAATATTGAATTCTTAAATATTTTGTGGTCCAAAATAATTATCTATTTTTCAAATTTTTTTTTTTTAAATAAATTTTTTTTTAAATTTTAATTTTTCCAAGACTACTCGTTTACTATATTTAATGTCCGTAAGATAAAACCATAGTCTTGTTTAAAATGTTTAAATATAGAATAAGAAGGTGGTATAATATTGTCGTTACTTAAACAATTATATCTGTGTAACGAAATTATTACGACAATCATAGTCTATAACAAATTACAGCACACAACTTAGTCTTCACAACTACATTAAATAGTAACATAGACATAAAAAAGGTTATAAGAACTTAGAGCGGCACAAGTAAAATAAACAAGTTAATTGACGGAAGTTACTGATTTATTTTGCAATGTCAATACATGTAATTATTATAATTAAAAATAAATTATAAAATTAAGTACTGTTTGGGCTATGGCATTTTTGAGTTTGAATTTGATGTGGTCTTGAATTAACAGTTCTGGAACAAAACAAACAATATTCGATTAATATAAAATACTAAAATATAAAAGTTTACAATATTTGTAGAATTAATCAATAATGTCTAACAGGGTTACAAAACGTGTATAATATATTATACCTTAGAAGAATTATTTTTAAAATCATAGTTAAACGTAAATATATCAATGCAGAAAGTATTTTAAAAACATTACAAATACTTTTAACTTTTAACATCAATTACAAGTTCAATATTCAAATTTACCTATTAATTACTAATGTAAAGTTTTAATGTCAAATGTATCTATTAAGTATAATGAAAACGTTATGCATACTACCTATTACACATTATCCCGAAATATGAAAGTAAATAAAGACTTGTTGTAATTTAAGAATACAGTTATTTACCATTTATTAAACATAAATGTATGATAATAAAATATAAAAAAATAAAATACTAAATAATTTGATTTTAACAATAGATAAAATAATTTAATAATGATGAAAAATCTTATACTGTATTTAATATACTTCAAAATATTTAATTAAAAAATTATATTACTTGTGTATTATTTACTATAAAACAATTAAATACATTTAGTCAAATACTTTACTTTGATGATATTTTTCGAAACTTTTATTAAAATTGTAAAGTAAGATATGATTACAAATAAATTTAAAAAAAGGTTATTTATATATAGTCAATCATAATTACATTTGATAAGTAATGTAACAATAAAATATTGAACAGTATTATACAAGTATTTATGATGAAAATATAATAAAAACAATAAATTGTTTATATTTTTATGACACGCGATGCATAAAAAATGAATCTTAATAATTATTTAATTGTTTTAGCTTGTCAAATTTTAAATAAAAAAACCAATCTATGCAATGAACGCAAAATAGTTATTGCAAAATTGAGAAAAAATAACAACAAGAATTATAAGAAATAAATACTATACCAAGGATTCAGAGTGTTTTCATTTTTATTTATCTAATCAGAATATTTGGTCCCGCTGATTATGCTCGAGTGATGGTCCATAAAAAGTTAACAAAAAAAAG